CACATACTATATTTTACTAATAATGGTAGACAAAAAAAAATCAGTTTTATAAATAAATGAGTCCCCCTTTACATTACAGTCCCCATCAGAGTTCCCCTTAAATCAGGATCCTCATCAGAGTCCCCCTTTTGTCAGTTTTTCCATCAGAGTCCCCCCTTACATCAGGGTCCCCATCACAGTCCCACTTAGGCTCCATTCACACCTATGTAGTCTGCTTTTTGTCTGTTTTGACGTGCCTTTTGCAGTTCATTTTGCATTTTTCCACATGCGTCTTTTTCACGCATTTTTGATGCGTTTTTACCGTGTTTTGCATTTTTTTTCAGTCTCTTTTTTTTTCATTAAAGTGGATTTTTTTGTTGCTGGGCAGAATAAAAATACAAAACGCAACAGGCAGTAAAAACGCAGCAAACATGCACTACCATGCAGCTTTTCCATTGAACTCTATTGTAGCAAAAACGCTGCTTTTTGCTTTTAAAAAAGTCCCAGTCCCTTTCCAAAAATGCAGCAGCTCAAAAAAGCATAGATGTGAATATGTTCCTTAGGAAACCATGTTAAATGGACTGTAGTGCGTTTCTGCAAAAAGCACTCAAAGAACGCATTGGTGTGAATGGAGCCTTGCAACAAGTCAAAGCAGAGACCAAAGGCAGCTTCTGCTGACCTGAACCCTCTATCTGTGCACATTGAGGATATGTCATTGACCCTGACTGTGAGTCAGAAGAAATCTTGTTGTGGACCAGATCTGGCCCAAGGACCCTCATTTGGAGACCTCCGCTCTGTAGAAACAGAGAATCAAGCTGAGAATCATTGCTTCAGTAAAATAGTACAGAACACAGCTGCTTGTGATTATACTTATGTAGCACTACCGCCTTGGGAGTCGTTGAGTTTTTGTGTCCCCTTATAGTCCTGCACAGACAGGCAACATGCATTTCCTTCCACTCTTGCACATTGTAGACAGTATATAGTCCTTGAGCTTGTTTTTGTTCGTTTTATTAAGGGGTATTGAACTTGGATAGGGCTGAGGGCTGCATGTGAACTTGAGAACAACTCCTTAACAACTATGTACAAGTCAATTAGACAAAAAGACTCTCTCCAGTCCTCCAAGTGTACCACCTCAGACCTTTTCACCATCTCTTCACCCAGTTGCCTGAGGAAATCCCTGGGCAAGGGGACAGCGAAAAAGCAGCCACCGGTTGAGGAGCTAGTTGGGTTCTCCACTTGACTGCTCTCTCCCCTTATCTTACCAAGAGGGTGTAGGTTTATTCACTGCCTCTCCTGTAACCTTGTTGGGTTGGTGGCTGCTTTCAGGCCTTGCTCTGGGCTGGATCCTTCCCGATTTCCTAGGCTGTCCTCTCTCACGGGTTCGAAAAAAGCAAAAGATAAGTGAGCGCTTGTGTGAATATATAATGAGCAGCAGCTGTACACCAAACAAAGGCACCGTATCAGACCTTCAATAGCATAAATGTGAAAGAGGAGGGGTGCAGCGCTATATAACTAGACACAATAATAAATAAACCACTAGTGATACACAATAGTGATAAACAGTGACTGAAATTAATAACGCCACTAGATGGTGGCCATAGAGTGAGGAGAGTGAAACAGCAGTCCAATGAAGGAGTGCTCTTGAGATCCGGGACGATCTTCAAACGTCCTATATAAAGGACCAACAGGTGATAAAATATGAAGACTGCGCACTCACCAGATACGCAATCTTTATGCGCATTTGTGTAAAATATCACTGGACCTCCTGTATCCTCATCCTGGTCTGGTCAGATCTGGTCCGCATATCCCTCAAGGCCTGGTATCCACATAGATGTAGCTTTTCCGTAGATTTGGCCGGTTTTCACCAATGCTCAAATAAATAGAAAGGGCCACATAGTGTAATATCCTCAGGTGTCTTTATTAGAGGTACAGGATAGCAGGAAAAACTGACAAGCAAAAGTATACTGACCAAATGAAAATCAAAGATGGCCGCCGGGGCCCCTCGTGGCGCCGGCGGTGAGGCGTCCGACCTGCTGTAGCTTTCCCTAAGGGAAAACCAGCCAAATCTACGGAAAAGCTACATCTATGTGGATACCAGGCCTTGAGGGATATGCGGACCAGATCTGACCAGACCAGGATGAGGATACAGGAGGTCCAGTGATATTTTACACAAATGCGCATAAAGATTGCGTATCTGGTGAGTGCGCAGTCTTCATATTTTATCACCTGTTGGTCCTTTATATAGGACGTTTGAAGAACTCTCTCACGGGTTGATTGAGGTAGAGAGATTCTCCTGTCCAGTACCTGCCTGTAGACAGGTACCTTCCTGGGCCCCCTCCCAGGCTCCACACTCCAGCCTCTCACTCCATCTTCCACCCAACACTGACTCACTTCTCCCAGGCTCGTCAATACTTAAGGGGTTGCCTTGGTCATCATGCCTTGCCTCCTGCAAAGGGATTGGCCAAGGTCCCTTAGGTATGTAGATCTGAACTTCCTTTCCTCCCCCATCCCTCCTCCAGAAAGCTCTCAGGTTTTCTGGAGAGGTGGGAGGGCTCCAGAAGCTCTGACCCTCAGACCCTCCCTAGCCTGTCCTGAGGTAACATCACTACCTCATTTCCAGGCTTACTCATCCCAAGCTGCTACTCAGCCTCTGACTAAAAAAAACTAGCTAGCTCCCCCTGGCTACATTTATATTATTATCATATATATATTTATATATTATAAACAGCATCCCTCTCATTGAAGTTAAGGGAAGCTCTGGTAACACAGGTGAACAGCTGGAGAGATTCAAGGTCCGAAGACACAGGGGAGCCATCCCAATGAAACTAGAGTACTCTGGTAGAAATTTGGAAGGTGCTTCCAACCGCTGTGTCTTCTGGAGAAGCTACATGCTATTAGTCTCTGGCGTAGCTGCCCCAATGCAGGGGCAGACTGACCATTTGGAAACTCGGGCACTGCCTGAGGGCCCGGGGTCAGTAGGGGGCCCCATGAGATGCCCCTGGTACCTTTTTCATAGGCTTTTTTTAATTTGGGCAAGGACACAGGGGCCCCATGATCCCCTATTGCCCAGGGGCCCCATGAGTTATCAGTCCACCCCTGCCCCAATGCCAATTCTGACAGAAAAAGGCCATGCACCTGGCTACAGATCACTAGCCCAGCTACCTCTGCCTCGTCAGGTGTGAGCTCTTTGCGCTGCTGAGGGAAGGAAGCAGAGAAACTTATCTTTGTTGTAAAGCTGAACTAATGGCATATATATATAAAGCACAATTTTTGTGGTTGTGTACTCACTAAAATATTACGTGGTCCCCATTCACACCTGTGCAATTTTTGGGCATTGGCTGACACGCAATAATACATGACAAGAGGATTGCCATTATTTTTTATGGGACCCATTCACACCTGTGCTTTTCTTTTGCATGCATTTTGGAATGTGGTGCTTTTTATGGTGCAAGAATACAGGTTTTTGGCCCCATAGACTTCAGTGGGAGTGCATGAAAAACACATGAAAAATGCATGAAAAACAAAAAGAAAAAAATTAAATTGCAGATGCACAAGTTTAAACTTAGCCTTCGGGCTAGAGAACATTTGATTGGTCAACACCATCACATGGACGGTGCTGAACAATCAGATGCTGTCTAGCCCATACTGTCATCGCTACAAGGAGAGGGGAGAAAGCCGCAGGGATTTCAAATCCCCAGACCTGTGAAGTGGCTTTCTCTTCTCTTCTTTCAGGGATGACAGTTCAGGCTGGATGGCATCTGATTGCTCAGTACCGTCCATGTGACGTTGCTGACCAATCAAAAGTCCTCTAGCCCGAACTGTCATCCCTGCAAGGAGGGGAAAGAAAGCGGCGGGTATTTCAAATCCTACCACTGAGAATATGGAGCATCTGCCTCCATAGTATACATCCCCACTCTCCTACTCTCCACTGCAGGAAATCTCCCTGCACCGCTCCTGTGTAAACTCAAGCTATGGCAAGCCTTGGTTCACACAGGAGCGGTGGGGAAACCGCATGCGATTTGGACAGGAATCACATTCCTGATCACATCACATGCTATTCTTTGCAGTGCAATTTGCATCCATACATTTTGTATTGACGCAAATTGCACTGCAAAGTATCGATAATTGGTACTTGACCGAAAGTATCGGTACTCATAAAAAATGGTATCGGTGCATCCCTAGTTTTATGCAATATTCTGGCCTAAAATGATTATTTAAACTTGTGCAAAAAAACTCAAAAACAGCTTTGAGCTGCTTTTATTTTAATTACTCTTCAGGAGTAATATGAAATGTAAAAAAAGCAAAAAGGATTTCTACATTGTATCATGGTGCTCTGTAACCCTGTGATTTAGCTTTGACTGCAATAGATTGGCCTCAAACCACAAAAATATAATTTATCAGCTATATTGCTGTGTTTAGTCATTTGTGACAATCGGCGATACTCAGAGTATTAATAAGTGAGAGTCACGACCCAGGAATGTGTACTTATCCCGCTCTCATACACGGTATAAGATCACACAGGACTCCAGGGTGACACACCCATCAGCATTCCATGTACTGAGACATAATGATTTGGCTTTGTCATGTGTGAACAAAGCCAACAGGTATGCAATGCGGTATTAAGAAGTTGTTCAAGCCAATTCATTTGTACCTTCGCTTAAATTATCTAGATTTTCTTCTGCGCAAAGCCTGGGATGCACACATTTCTGCACTGGTGTGTAAGGCTTCGTTTTAGGAACATTCATTCAATTGTCGTTTAATTATCTAATCATTAGTGGGGTGAAATCAGTGCTCTTTTTTTGGCCTTGATGATGAGAAAATTCAAAGGAGCAGGATGGAAAATTTTTCACGAACAAACATTTTTCTCACAGTAATTGTGTCTTTTGACCAGGAAATGACATTCATTCGAAAATTGAATGTTAAAAGTAAATGAAATTTCGAATGACATTCGTCAAGCCATCAAATGTACTGAACATTTTCGTACAAATATTTGTATGAATTTTCGTTACAAATTTACTAGTAGCCAGGGGTGGACTGACAACTCATGGGGCCCCCAGGCAATAGGGGATCATGGGGCCCCTGTGTCCTTGCCCAAACTCAAAAAAGCCTATGAAAAAGGTACCAGGGGCATCTTATGGGGCCCCCTACTAACCCCAGGAACTTGGGCAGTGCCTGAGTTTCCAAATGGTCAGTCCTCCCCTGCTAGTAGCCTAACACATTCTCCAATCCACGGTTACCTCTACCATATAGACCGGGGGTCTCCAAACTTTTTAAACAATGGGCCAGTATACTGTCCTTCAGACTTCAGGGGGCCAGCCGTTGGCCCGTGGGAGTAGCATTAGCCTCAGGCCTGGTGGTCAGTGGGAGTTCTTCATCACTGGTGTCAGTGGTGGGAATAGTGCCCCATCATTGGTGTCAGTGGTGGGAATAGTGCCCCATCATTGGTGTCAGTGGGGGGGAATAGTGCCCCATCATTGGTGTCAGTGGGAGGAATAGTGCCCCATCATTGGTGTCAGTGGGGGTAATAGTGCCCCATCATTGGTGTCAATGGGAGTCATTATGTCCCAAAATATACGTGGGGGGAGCAGTACCCTCTATCAGTTGAAGGTATAATACCCCAAGGCCCAGATAAAGGCACGCAAAGGGCCGCATTTGGCCCATGGGCCATAGTTTGGAGTCCACTGATATAGACAGTTGAAAAAAAGAGTATTTTTTTTTTTATCTGTAGCATTTTCAGACATAATTTTTCTTCCATCTGCAGAAGGAGTACAGTCATCTCTTAGGCTGGCCCTAGATGATTCACTTGTGAAATCCATGTGGGTGCATATCCCCAGAGACTCACACTGCGTTTGTCGAAAAGCACCCGCACGCACCTGCACCCACACGGATGTCGAACTGGGAGCGTGTCCATGCAGCTGCTGCATCCCAGTGGACATGAATGAGGTTGCCCACACCTGTGCATCCCATGCACACAAACGTGGCCCTAGCATGTGTGTAGACTTAAATACGTCCATTTGAATAAGATCGTAATAGCCATGGTTTTGAAAACCATTAAATAGACCCACATTCTATGCATGAAGGCAAAAAACCTTCTGTGTGCAGCAGCTCCCCCAGCCCCCTCAATATTCACTTGACCCTCATCGCGATCCAGCGATATGCACAACAGCCAAGGCTGTCCCAGGTCTCTGCCCCCTTTTTGGCTGAGACAGCAAGAGGGAGCCATTGGCTCATGCTGCTGTCAATCACAGCCAGTCAGCCAATGAGAAGAGAGGGGTGGGGCCAAGCCTCAGCTCCGTGTGTGAATGGATGCACAGAGCAGCAGGTGCCCCTATAGCAAGCTGCTTGATGTGGGGGCACCTGACAGGAGGGAGGGGCCAGGAGAGCCTGCGGGAGACCCAAGAAGAGGAGGATCCAAGCTGCTCTGTGCAAAACCACTGCATTCAGCAGGGAAGTATACACATGTTTGTTATTTTCCCCCCAAAAAATTAATCTTTAGAATTGCTTTAAAAAGTTCTCGCAAGACTATTTTAATATAGTTCTCCACCTAGCATACCAAACATTAGGTGTACTGGAGCCCCAATTCATACCACGTAGCTTGTCGCGCATACAGTATCTCCATTTTTGTGTGTTGTTGCTCTTAGTACATACAACACGAGACAAATATGACAAAGAAGCTTGAGTATATTTTTGATCTTTTTGCATGATTTTTATTCATGTGGTTTTTTTTTAAGGACAAAACCACGCATCTTGCTTGCTGCGTCTAGGATATCACTAAAAATGAATGGCACCACAATTTCAATATGCATTTCTTAAAGGCACACAAAGTAGCGTGATGTCACAGGTGTCAATGTAGCCCGAAGCCTAGTACACGAGATCAGAAAAACTTACAAAAAATACCGCTTTCTAAGCGATCATACAATAATCTGATCATTAGTACAAGGCTTTTGTCTGAAATTATTTAAAGGAACAAGGAGGAAAATTTTTCTCATATGATACCAGATCATACGATTTTCATTTAATTAGTACAGTTTTTGTACAAAAATACAGTACAAATACAATACAGTACATTACATCACTCCTGAATTTTTATTCTGTCATGCAAGAATTTTCATAACTTTAGTAACCTCTTAATTTTTGAAATGAGATCTGCATGCAAGAAGAAAAAACGGAGAATCATTCGTCCTATATTCTCATCGTGTGTACGGAGCTTAAAGTGGTTGTAAAGGCTCAAGGTTTTTTACCTTCATGCATTCTATGCAAGAAGGTAAAAAGCCTTATGTGTGCAGCAGTGCCCCCAGCCCCCTCAGTACTTACCTGAATCCAGGGGCGGACTGACCATTTGGAAACTCGGGCACTGCCCGAGGGCCTGGGTTCAGTAGGGGGCCCCATGAGATGCCCCTGGTACCTTTTTCATAGGCTTTTTTGAGTTTGGGCAAGGACACAGGGGCCCCATGGTCCCCTATTTCCCAGGGGCCCCATGAGTTGTCAGTCCACCCCTGCCTGAGTCTCATCACAATCCAGCAATGTGAGTAACAGCCTCAACTTTCCTGGGTCTCTGGTTCCTCATCGGCTGAGACAGCATGCGGGAGCCAATGGTTCCCGCTTGCTGTCTCAGCTGATGAGGAACCAGAAGACCCATTGGCTCCCGCTGCTGTCAATCACAGCCAGTCAACCAATGAAGAGGGAGGGGCAAGCAGTGGATCCATGTGTGAATGGACACACAGAACAGCGGGTGTCCCCATAGCAAGCTGCTTGCTCTGGAGGCACCCGACAGACAGGAGGAGCCAGGAGAGCCTGCGGGGGACTCGGGAAGAGGAGGATCCAGGCTGTTCTGTGCAAAACCACTGCACTCAGCAGGTAAGTATAGCCATGTTTGTTATTTTACAAAAAAAAATGAACCTTTAGAATCACTTTAAGTTGGTGAGGATAGTAACCACTTGCTGTCAGAAGTCAAATATTATCTGACAACTCCAAATGAAGTGCATGAAATCTGCTTGGGGCTCATTACATCGTATACAGTTGGTGATAGCCATACGCCCCATTTTGTGCTTTCAAAGGGGCGATAGGTATGTTCAATGGATAATATACAATTCAATGAATCCACTATCATAGTGGAACTAAACTCTCTCAAGCAACATTAAGGGCACATTCACACTAGAATGCAATGCGGGGGAGCCGTGTTTCCATGCGGCTTCCCACACCACATTCTTATCACAAGGCCCTTGTGATCTGCTGCGAGGGTCAGTTTATGTTAATGACACCCTAAATGCAGGTCACAAACACACTGCGTTTGCCCACACCGGTCCGCACCAAACCACATGGTACAAAGTACCATGCGATGCGGCTGCCATGCGGTTAAAAAAGAGTAGTGCATGCGCTATTTTTAGTGCAGTGCGGTGAAATTTGAGCCCATTCGAATGAATGGGCTTGAAATCGCACAGCATAGACCTGCATATGAATCGCATGCTTTCCTGTGTGATTCAGATCAGGGCACAGTTTGACCTGGACTCTAAATTATAACTAAAGGCAATTTTTTTTTTTTTTAGTTTTGGACACAGTGGAGATGGATTAGAACCCCTTCAGGTTTTTATTGCTCCCTCTGCTCCCGTTAGGAAGGTTCTCCCTCTCTATTTGTCCTGTTTAGCATTATCATCAAAAGTGACAGTAATAAAAACCCTAATTTTAAGTTGTCACCAGAAAATTAATAGAGGGGAAATTTTCCAATGGGGAAACATAGTTTTGGCTATGGGACAGGAAGTGAAGGTAAATCTTCTCAATGGGACACAGATGGCAAAACAATTAACTGACAAGGGTTATAACCCTCCCTTACTCAATCCAGCAGCACAGTGGCTAAATGGTTAGCACTTCCCCTGGCAGTACTACAGTCATTCGTTCAAATCCCAACCACAGCACCACCTGCCTGGAGTTTGCATGTTCTCCCTGTGCCTGCGTGTGTTTCCTCCCATACTCCAAAGAGATGCTGGTAGGTTAATTGACTCCTGTCTAAAGTGGCCCTAGTATGTGTATGTATGAATGTGAGTTAGGCTGGCCATACATTATACATTTTTCTTGCGATTTTTGGTTTAGATTTACCAAAAACCATATAATAGGAGGTCAAACCTAACAAAACTTTCAATTGTATCCAATTAGGCAGGCTCTTGCACTACATAGTTGAAGGTAAATCTAAAGGAAATTGGGCAGAAATTGGACATAAAGTTGTATAGTGTATGGCCAGCCTTAGGGACCTTAGATTGTACGCCCCTTGAGGGTTAGGGACTGATGTGAATGTACAATATATATATATATATGTAAAGCACTGCGGAAATTGATGATACTATACAAGTACCTATAATAAATGAAAACAAAAAGTTTTGCCTATAGTTCTACTTTAACTATTTTTAATCCTCATTATGCTAGCAATAGTAAATAGATAAGAAGGGATATTATACAGTATGTATTTGTTTTAAACTTTTTTTTTCATATCAGTTACTTCCTGGTTTTTGACCAAGGCCAAAATGATGTCATACATCCCAGGAGAGTGAGCATTTTTTTCTCTTTCATCTGGAGGAAGAGAGGAGGAGCTTTATCTTCTATGCAAACCCTCCTGCCTGCATTGTAAAGCTAAGGGCAGATGGACTCCAGGAAGTAAATGCTACTTGACTCATCTGCCCTTACTCAAGATGGTCACAAGTGATTTCTCAACATAATAAAGCATGGGGACATGAATGGAGGGGTGAGTTTGCTTGCAATATTAATCAGTTGCCGCCCGGCCTATGGCCAGATGGCAGCCAGGCGAACAGCTTGTCCCTCCAGGTGGACGCCATATGGCGTCCTTTCCAGAACGCGCATTGCGCATGCCCGCAGGACCACGCTGTGGCAAGATCTGTCACCGGCCGTGTACCTCGGACACGGCCAATGACAGATCTGTGTACCGGCCCCGTTGCCAGTATCATGTGACCTGCTGTGACCAATCAAATCAGGTCACATGACAGTTGTATACAATGGATGGCTTCCTTTCATACCATCCATTGTATACAAGTGTGTCTAGCTGTGAATAATCACAGTGATCACATGCACAAGCTGGGCCAATCACAGCCCAGCTGTGTCATGTGATTAGC